ACCAGGCCAAGTCAAACATTTTTTATTTGTAATTATTATGGATACATAATAGTTGTACGCCTTTCAAATTGAACTCCTGAGGGATCCAGGGCCATTGAGAGGAAAAACAGCGCAGAACCAGGCGGATTTATTTCTAGGGATTTGGCTCCTAGCCCCTTGTCAGGGAAGGTGACTTCTTTCTTTCCCCAGGGCCAAGAGAGACTCACAGGGAGATGTACCTCTAGAATCCTAGGTCTGAATGAGACCACCAAAGGGTCATTGGTTTTAGGTGCTGTTGTTGTTGTTGTTTTTTGCCCCTCACATTAAGGCTACATCGAAACCACTCTAAAGGGATCAGAAAGAATATGACATATAGTCTGTCTGTTAAATGTTTCCATATTCTTTCCTGGTAATTCAGGACTAAGTATGTTTTACAGTGAGTTCTTCTTTTCAGCCTTTTGGCTGCAATTGAGGGTTGCAAATGCTTTGAGCGTAGTCTATTCATCTTTATATCCTGTCCAAACCCAGCAAATCAGGTCCTAGGGTCCCATCTATTGACCTGAGCTGCATTGTTCTGCTCTCCCTGGAGCTAGGAAATATGCTGGTCACTGTTTTTTGTTGGCTTTAAATACAGTATTTGCAAAGTTCAAAACAAACCTTATGATCATTTGGCTTGTGGCTTCTCTCCTAAATCTCCCTCCTTTTGGAATGGTCAGGATGGCAGGAGGACGTGCCAAGACTGAGCTTCTGTTTCTGTTCAAGGACAGTCCCTGCCATGGCTTCGTTTGAGTTGCCCTCCCTTTTCTTATCAAATGAAATCAGCCACCACAGGAAATTGGCTTCTCCAGATTGTAGGAGACAGGAAGCAGCACCACAAAGCAGGGTCCAGGGAGGGAAGCCAGAGATGAGAGAAACAGCTCAAGCTCCAGCTCAGACAGTGCCTGGCCCCCGCCTTGCTTTCTGCCTCTCTGTCTCATTCTTACGATCTCCAGCCTGATCTACCCTTCTCCTGTGTCCTGGTGTCTGAGGCCGAAAGGCGCTGTAGTAGAAGATACGTCAAGGCCAGCCTCCCTCCCTACTCAGTCACTCCCAACAAGCCTTCCAGCGTGGGCTTGACCCTTCCAGGGATGGAAATTTTACTGCTTCTCCTAAGAAACCAGCTCCATTTTGCCTTTTATCCATCTGAAACCTCCCTCCTCCAGTGTTCTTCCTTAGGTCCACGTGGGCCTCACTTTTCCACGGGACAGCCCTTTCCACACCTGAGTCTCCAGGCTAAGCCCTTCCAGGGAGGCCTGTTGGTAGAGGCATGAGTTTCTCAGAAACTCAGCCAGAGGGAGTCAGGAAGGGGTCTAAGCAGGAAGGAAAGGCGAGAACAATGCTACTCGTGGGCCTTTTCCTTGCCAAGGAGTTACGTGTGGTGGCTTTAACTTGATGTTTACTACAACCTCAGCATGCTTTTCTTCTGCAAGCGTAGTGCCTTATGGGAAGAGTGTCTTCTCTTTTAGCTCACTTCATTAATTTTTTATGAAATATTTAAATACATATATAAAGGTATCATGACATTCCACTCCTAAATACTTCAGTATGTATCTTTAAGACATAAGAATATTGGCCGGGCACGGTGACTTATGCCTGTAATCCCAGCATTTTGGGAGGCCGAGGCGGGCGGATCACCTGAGGTCAGGAGTTCAAGACCAGCCTGGTCAATATGGTGAAACCCCATCTCTACTAAAAATATAAAAATTAGCCGGGCATGGTGGCAGACGCCTGTAATCCCAGCTATTCCAGAGGCTGAGACAAGAAAATCGCTTGAACCCTGGAGGCTGAGGTTGCAGTGAGCCAAGATCGCACCATTGCACTCCAGCGTGGGTGACAGAGTGAGACTTTGTCTCAAAAAAAAAAAAAGAATATTTTTCTGCATAGCCAAAATCAAAATATAACACCCAACAAAATTAACTATAACCTCCTAGCATTATTTAACACTTAATCCACAAAATTTCCCCAGTTGATTCCAAAATGTCCTTTACTGCTGTTTTGTTCAAACCAGGATCCAATCCAGGACCATGCACTTCATTTTGTTGTGATGGAACTTAGGACTCTTTTATGGATGACGCTGATAAATAGAAGAAAGCTTCCTTGTTAAAGTGCTCTCTTTTAAAAAATTCATATCAGGGCCAGGTGCAGTGGCTCATGCCTGTAATCCCAGCCCTTTGGGAGACTGAGGCAGGCGGATCACCTGAGGTCAAGAATTCAAGACCAGCCTGGGCAATGTGGTAAAACCCTGTCTCTGTTAAAAATACAAAAATTAGCTGAGCCTGGTGGTGCACACCTGTAATCCCAGCTACTTGAGACACTGAGGCAATAGAATGGCTTGAACCCGGGAGGCAGAGGTTGCGGTGAGCTGAGATCACACCACTGCTCTCTAGCCTGGGCAACAGAGCGAGACTCCATCTCAAAATAAATAAAATAAAATAAAATAAATAAAATAAAGTAATCAGGCTGGGCACAGTGGCTCACTCCTGCAATCCCAGCACTTTGGGAGGCTGAGTGGGGCAGATCGCTTGAGCCCAGGAGTGTGAGACCAGCCTGGGCAACCTCATCTCAAAAAATACAAAAATTAGCTGGGCGAGGTCTGTCGCCCAGTTTGGAGTGCAGTGGCACAATCTCGGCTCATCGCAACCTCCGCCTCCTGGGCTCAAGCAACTCTCCTGCCTCAGCCTCCTGAGCGTGCACCTCCTGGGCAAGCCTGTGGTCCCAGCTACTCAAGAGGCTGAGGCAGGAGGATCCTTTGAGTCCAGGAGGCAGTGGTTTCAGCAAGCTGAGATCGTGCCACTGCACTCTAGCCTGAGCCACAGAACCAAACCCCGTCTCAAAAAAAAAAAAAGCAAAAAACAAAAAGAAAAACCAAACCAAATAAAATACGTATCATATATCATCAACATAGTTCATTATGCCATTATTATATCATGGATATAGTTCACATTACACATCACGAGACAGTTGTACCACTCAGATGTCAGACGCCATGCACCTTCTACTTGAGACAGTTAAATTCAAGAATAATTTTTTTGGCCAGGCGCAGTGGCTCACATCTGTAATCCCAGAACTTTGGGAGGCTGAGGTGGGCAGATCCCCTGAGGTCAGGAGTTCAAGACCAGCCTGGCCAACATGGTGAAACCCCATCTCCACTAAAAATACAAAAATTAGCTGGGTGTGATAGCCGGCACCTATAATCCCAGCTACTGGGGAGACTGAGGCGGGAGAATTGCTTGAGCCCAGGAGGCGGAGGTTGCAATGAGCCAAGATCGTGCCACTGCACTCCAAACTGGGCGACAGAGCAAGACTCTGTCTCAAAGAAAAAGATTTTTAAAAAATAAAAAAGGATAAATTTTACTAGACTCCATCTCAAAAAACAAACAAACAACTCCTGATCTCATGATCTGCCTGCCTTGGCCTCCCAAAGTGCTGGGATTACAGGCGTGAGGTACAGTGCCTGACCAAGAATAATTTTTTTCAAGAAATATTCAGTCTACAGAGTGCCAGTAACGGGGGTAAAAATACACACATGGTAGCATTTCATATTCATGAATTTGTTCAGCTTGGGAACAATGGAAATTCAGTTTTTTCTTTTTTCTTTTCTTTCCTTTTTTTCTTTTTTTTTTTTTTGAGTGGAGTCTTGCTCTGTTGCCCAGGCGGGAGTGCAATGGCACAATCTCGGCTCACTGCAACCTCCACCTCCTGGGTTCAAGCGATTCTCCTGCCTCAGCCTCCTGAGTAGCTGGGATTACAGGCATGCCCTACCATGCCTGGCTAATTTTTTTTTTCTTTTTTGGATTTTTAGTAGAGATGGGGTTTCTCCATGTTGATCAGGCTGGTCTCGAACTCCCTACCTCAGGTGATCCACCCACCTTGGCCTCCCAAAGTGCTGGAATTACAGGCGTGAGCCACCGCACCTGGCCAAGTGATGTTTGTTTGAAAGTCACAATTGGTCAGAAAAAGAAAAGGCAGATATGTTAGGATTCTCAAGGACATGTATATAGAGAAAGAGATGTTTCTAAGGAATTGGTTCACATAGATTATGGAGGTTGGCTAGTCCAGAATCTGCAGCGTGAGCTAGCAGTTCCTCTCCTCCAGGGAGCACCATCTTTTTGTTTCAGGCCTTCAGCGGACTGGACGGGGCCCACTCGCATTGTGGAGGGTAAATCTGCTTTGCTTGAAATCCACTGATTTAAATATTAATCTTATCCAAACATATCCTCACAAAGACATCCAGAATAATGTTTAACCACATACTGCTCTGAAAAGTCAATGGGTTCATTTTTTTTCTATTAAAAAACCCCACCACATATCTGGGCACTGTGGCCCAGCTAAGCTGCCACATAAAATTAAGATATCACAGCAGCGCTGAGAGAGACGGAGTTTCCATCTCTGCTACTGTGTTCTGTTCTTGTATAAATAATGTAACACTTAGGGCCTCAGTTTTCCTCTCTGTAAAACAAAGGGTTTGGACTAAAAGATCTCTAAGTTTCCTTCCAGCTTTAAAGTTCTTTTAAAAATTGTAGTAGGCTGGGCACAGTGGCTCGCACCTGTAATCACAGCAATCTGGGAGGCCAAGGTGGGCAGATCACTTGAGGTCAGGAGTTTGAGACCAGCCTGGCCAGCATCGTAAAACCCCGTCTCTACTAAAAACACAAAAATTAGCTGGGCGTGGTAACGCGCACCTGCAACCCCAGCTACTCAGGAGACTGAAGCAGGAGAATCGCTTGAACCTGGGAGGCGGAGGTTGCAACCTCGTGATCCACCCGCCTCGGCCTCCCAAAGTGCTGGGATTACAGTCATGAGCCACCGTGCCCAGCCTTGTGTGTGTGTTTTATAGCAGCCATCCTAATGGGTATAAGGCGATATCTCATTAAGATTTTGATTTGCATTTTCCTAATGATTAGTGCTGTTGAGCATCTTTTCATAGGTTTGTTAGTTATTTGTATACCTGTTTTGAATTGTCTACTTAAGCCCTTTGCCCATTTTTTTTCATAATTGAGATTTTATTGGTTGAGGATCAGTACAGACATTTCAATTTGTACACAATTCTTAACATATGTAACGAAATTCTAAAAAGCCATGTATTGTAATTCTTTTTTAAAGTTATTCCAGTGACTTTCCAGCTTAAAATTTGGAAGCAGATTTTCCTTAAGAGGCTATCAAGTACCAGTTTCTTCACATGTCGGTCAGCTGTTACATGTGGCCCACCAGTTCACACTGAATAGCATGTACACCACATATTCAAATCTGTAATCTTTCACAGCACAGTAACACGGTTATTAGGCAAACAGGACTACCACTACCAAAGATGTTACAGAGTGCACACAATTCCGACAGGGAGCGCCATGATCAAGGGGTGGTTTTCTGTAGGAAACAATTCTACTGAAAAACAACACGGGAATAGAAGTAAAATAAAATGTTCAAGACATTAAATGCAGGACTGACTCCATATTGCCATTTAATATGCTTTGTATTCTAGGATATAAAAACTAACCCCCCATCTATGGAATGTTAAGCTGACACCAGAGACAGTCAAAGCCTCCCATAGTTCAATATCCCCCACTAGTTTCTGGTTGTACCAAAAAATAACCAGCAAATGATTTCACCTCTTAAAAAAAGCATTTACACTTAAAAAATGGGATGAGGTGGGATTCCCTCCTTCTTAAAAATGTTTCTAGAGCTACTAAAAAACTTGCATTTACAAAATAGTTGATAAAAATATTCCTCTGGATTGTACAAGAAGGGAGACAGGCACCACTGGTGAGACATGGTATATGGTATTAATCAGACGTGGCTTCTTTCTCTCCTGCTTCGTCAGAGGCTGGACTCTCCTCGGTTTTCATTTCCCCGTTTACTGCAGGTAAATCTTCTTTAGTTTCTTGGTTGGCCACTTCGGCCTGTTTCCCTTTGCTCCCTTTTTCCCTTTTGTTTGCACTTTTTTGTCTGAAGATTTATCTTTCGCTGCTGCCTTTTTCGGCTTCGCTTCCACTTTTGCGGGAGGTTTAGCTGACAACAGCGCCCATCTCCTCTTGGGCTCTTCCTTGGCGGCCCCTTCGGCGGAGCTGACCTGTGGGGAGAAGGAGACAGGGAATGGAGGCGGGCCACAGTCCCACGACCTGTGTGCCCGCCCGGCCCCGAGAACAATCCCTTTGCCCATTTTTAAGTGAGATTATTTGTTTATGTTGTTGTTGTTGAGTTATAAAAGTTCTTGATATATTCTGGATATTAACTCCTTATCAGATGTGTGATTCACAGTGTTCTCTCCCGTCTAGTGGTTTGCCTTAGCCCTCTGTTGATTGCATCCTTTAATGCGCATAAAATCCTTTAAGCCTGTGAAATTTGGGGTTGCAACTCTTTCTCCCATCTTTGGCCCATAGCTGCAGGCTGAGGACCTTAACCTCTCTGTCCTACGTGAGTAGTATTCCTGCCGTCCTATCTCTTCGATGGTACGTATTTCAGAATAGAACTCTCAGTTCTTACTGCTGGAATCGACTTTGGAATTCTTGTCCAACCTCATTTTACTCATGGACAAACAAGGCCCTTTGTGAGCAACAGAGCTGGATCTAAAGTGTGAGCTTCTCTCTCCGTCCAGCGCTCTCTGCACTGCGATGCAGCTTGACAAGTCAGTTGGTTGTTTTAATGAACTCCTCAGGAAACATAAGCAATGACAGGAAAAGACAACCAGGCTATTAAGAGGGAATTTTATCCTATTGAAACTCTGTTATGGGGAAACGTGTGTGTTTGTTATAGGTAATCTAGTTACATTTTCAAAACCCTTTTTACTTTCTAAAAGCAACTACAGATATTCTAGGACTGTGAGTGCTGGTTTCTGGTAAATGGGGAGTTGCTTAGAAACCAGGAATGAGGGATGGAGACCAGAGGTCTCCTGTGGATGAAGTATAAACAGTAATTCTTCTTTTTTTTTCTTTGAGACAGAGTCTCGCTGTGTTGCCCAGGCTGGAGTGCAGTGGTGCGATCTTGGCTCACTGCAAGCTCCATCTCCCGGGTTCACACTAGTCTGCCTCAGCCTCCCGAGTAGCTGGGACAACACGCACCGCCACCATGCCCGGCTACTTTTTTTTTTTTTTTTTTTTTTTGTATTTTTAGTAGAGACAGGGTTTCACCATGTTAGCCAGGATGGTCTCAATCTCCTGACCTTGTGATCCATCCCCCTCAGCCTCCCAAAGTGCTGGGATGACAGGCGTGAGCCACCGCGCCCGGCCATATAAACAGTAGCTCTTGTAAGGAATCAGTACTAACCTTGGAAAGAAGATGAACATAATTTTTCTCTGTGCAACCTCTACCCCTCTTCTGATGAAAGCACCTGCTTTTCTTGAGGGCCTGCTCCTCCGTAAACATGAGCCCATGTTGTTTGGGTGGAGCTTCAGGAATCGGCATATGAGTCAGTCCAGAAAAATCCGCACATCCCATCGGCCAGCCACGGCGACTAATTGCAGAAGAGGCGTTTGACCCCAGGTCACGCCAAGGGGATTCCGTCCCGGGACTTTTGCTGCACTGTTTTGAAAGAGGCCCTCTTTCCCTTGGTATTGCTGACTAGCAGGACATGGGCCTGAAACTGCCAGAACGCACCTTGATGCCACCCGGGTAGAGTCAGGGGAGAGCAGGGCTGAGAGCTGGAGACACAGATTCCTGAAAGCATTGTTTGAGCGCGGATCCAGTCTTGCCTTAAATCAGACTTTTTAGTAACATGAGCCGATCAGTTCCTCTGCTACGCTAGTTTGAGTTTAACTCATCATTAGTTAATCATTAGTTAATAAGTTTAATCATTTAAACACTAATGATTAAAATAGTCCTCATTAGTCCAGATTGTACTTTAAGTTGCTTGCGTACATTATCTGGAGGAGAGTATAAAAATAATAGGCTATCAATATTGAGACTAATATTAAGTTCTTTTAGGTAATAGAAAGTCAAACTGATGGGCAAAGTTCTGTGGGAAATTGTGTGAAGCTATGTTAACAGTAAGAAAAGTGACTAGGTTTTGCTGTAAGTAAATGGATGGTCACACTTTCGGGAAATAATAATTTAAATTCTATTTCTAGTATGACAAATGGCAAGGCAAAGAATGAGTCATGAAGGGCTCTTTAAGAACATACGGTGCAAAGATGCTACTGCACCGTAACGTGTTAGAAAAGTATAATAGAACTAAAACAGGTAACATGTGATGGACGGTGAAAAGGTGTAAAAACAAACACACAAAAGGTGGCCAGATGCAGTAGCTCACGCCTGTAATCCCAGCACTTTGGGAGGTCAAGGTGGGCGGATCACTTGAGGTCAGGAGTTCGAGACCAGCCTGGCCAACATGGTGAAACTCAATCTCTACTTAAAAATAGAAAAAAAAAAAAAATTAGCCGGCATGGTGGCAGGCGCCTGTAATCCCAGCTACTCGGGAGGCTGAGGGAGGAGAATCACTTGAATCCAGGAGGCGGAGGTTGCAGTGAGCCAAGATCATGCCACTGCACTCCAGCCTGAGCAGCACAGCAAGGATCTGTCTCAACACAACACAAAACAAACAAAACCAACAGGTAACATTCATCCCACTGTTGCGTAGACTCACAATGGGCCGAATGTATTCCGTCCGAGCTTCCAGGTCCACGGTCCACCCCCTCCCACCCTGCTCTCCTCTCAGCAGACCTGCGTCCTTTGGCTTCTAGCTGGAGTCCCTAACAGGGATCCCCGTCAGGGAGGAGAGAGTGGCTGTGTGTGTTCCCCTGGTTTCCTCCTACAGGGGCTTCCTCAGGGAGCTGCTTCCCTAGATCACAGGTCACAGGGCTTCTCAAGGAGCCTCTCCCCGGCGTGTGTGGAGTCTGCCTTTTGGGTTTAGAGGTCACAGGGCTTCCCAAGGAGCCTCTCCACGGCGCGTGCGGACTCTCGCCTTTTGGGTTCTGATCACTGTTGCCTGCCCCAGACCCAGGGATAGTAACAGCTCTTTGGGGCAAGTCCTGGGTTCCCGCATTCCCATGACCACACTGTGTACTGGTCCCTTTATTAAACCCTCCTCGAACTGCCTAGTTTGCAGGTGCCAACTCTTTCCTGTAATATGACGTCATATGTCATCATGCACATTCTTTTTTTTTTTTTTTGAGATAGAGTTTTGCTCTGTCCCCCAGCTGGAGTGCAGTGGCATGATCTCAGCCGCTCACTGCAACCTCTGCCTCCTGCCTCAGCCTCCTGAGTAGCTGGGACTACAGGCGCACACCATCACGCCTGGCTAATTTTTGTGTTTTTAGTAGAGATGGGGTTTTGCCATGTTGGCCAAGCTGGTCTCGAACTCCTGACCTCAGGTGATCCACCCGCCTCGGCCTCCCAAAGTGCTGGGACCACAGGTGTGAGCCACGACGCCCGGCCGCGCAACGCACATTCTATGTCCATATTTGGAAAATTACCTTTGATTGTGAGTGTTCAGCCTCAAGAAAACAGCAAGGCAGGCAAAGTCTAAAGGAGGGAAGTGAAGAGATCGAGAGGTGGAGTGTGCAGCCATGTCCGGACCGATCAAATGTGATGCCTGAGCTTACAATCTTCACATTAATAACTTACAGTTTGATTATAGACTAGAATATTAGTATAGGGAGCACATCTTAAACCTGGAGATATGCTTTAAATAAATAAAATGGAGTATTACCTCATGCAGAAGTTTGTACCCTCACGAAATTCATTACTCTAAGAGGCAGTACAATTTGAAAGTAAAAATCAATTCCAAATGGCTTAAATACACAAATGAAGGAATTTTAAGTCACCCAGGGAAACTTGAATTTTGAGGTTAATATCAAGATGTGAGAGAGGTAAATGGACTAGAGCTGATCTGGAAATTCTTATGTTTAATAATAAAGGAAATTTTGAACATAAATAAAACTTACGTTAGCTTCTCATTTTCCACCTTAGTTGGCACTTCTGAAAACATACACCTTATATAATACATTTACCTCTCTCATTTGAATTCTGAGCTACTGTCTGCTGCCCTCTCAGGATGTTTTAACCTGGAGTCCATGGATTCCAGGGGGTCTGTGGATAGAATTGTATTTCAACGTAGTCTATTTCTTCTCCTTGAGTATGTATTTCATTTTCTACATTTAAAAACATGATTCTGAGGAGGCCACAGGAGCTGCCAGAGTACCAGAGGGTTGCGTGGCAAGATGAAGTTTAAGATTCCCTTGTAGGCTGGGTGCGGTGGCTCACGCCTGTAATCCTAGCACTTTGGGAGGCCAAGGTGGGCAGATCACCTGAGGTCAGGAGTTTGAGACCAGCCTGGCCAATATGGTGAAACCCCGTCTCTGCGAAAATACAAAAATTAGCCAGGTGTGGTGGTGCACCCCTGTAGTCCCAGCTACTCGGGAGGCTGAGGCAGGAGAATCACTTGAACCAGGGAGGCGGAGGTTGCAGTGAGCGGAGATGGCACCATTGCACTCTAGCCTGGGCAACAAGAGCAAAAATCCATCTCAAAAAAAAAAAAAAATTAGTGGGGTGTGGTGGCACGTGCCTGTAATCCCAGCTACTCAGGAGGCTGAGGCAGGAGAAGTGCTTGAACTCAGGAGGCAGAGGTTGCAGTGAGCTGAGATCGCACCACTGCACTCCAGCCTGACAAAGACAAGTTCTTGAGAACAAAAGGTTCTTTAGTTCCCTACACGGGCCCCTAGTGACCACCGCCATCTCATTAATAAATGGCTTTCATTCTTGGGCTCAGTAAACAAAATGGCTTGTGGCGTGTGGAACTGAGTGTCTTTACGCTTTTGAAAATTGTACTAAATTCTTGGCCAGGCGCGGTGGCTCAAGCCTGTAATCCCAGCACTTTGGGAGGCCGAGGCGGGCAGATCACGAGGTCAGGAGATCGAGACCATCCTGGCTAACACGGTGAAACCCCGTCTCTACTAAAAAATACAAAAAACTAGCCAGGCGAGGTGGCAGGCGCCTGTAGTCCCAGCTACTCGGGAGGCTGAGGCAGGAGAATGGCGTGAACCTGGGAGGCGGAGCTTGCAGTGAGCTGAGATCTGGCCACTGCACTCCAGCCTGGGTGACAGAGCAAGACTCCATCTCAAAAAAAAAAAAAAAAAGAAAATTGTACTAAATTCTTGTCTCCAGAGGTTTGGCCCTTAGTCAATGCCTGGAGGGAAATTTATTTGCAAAACTCCCCACTCTCTGGAAAATCATTTGTTCTGGTCAGATTCCTGGAATTCACATATAGATACTGGGGTATCTCACAACTGGTGTCTGTCACAATTTTTTCTGCCACTTTGGGTTGAGTTTTCCTCCGGGCGTGTCAGTTCTAAGAATGCTCCCTTCGACAGAGAAAACAGAAGCAACATACACGCTGAGGAGTTCTGCTTTCTCTTGTCACCTACCAACATGACAACATTGACCACAAACAGCGTATCCCCTTTTTTGCTTTGCATATGACTTTATGAAGCCCTTGTATGGGCCTCAGTTCACGTGAGGCTTTCACTTTCTCGGAAGCACACTGCCATTTGTTCCATCTTACGTTCCTCTGCGGGCAAAAGCACCCTCTGTTCAGCTCAGGCTCACCTTCTCCTACAGTCACATCAACGAACATCTGCAACCTTGGGTTTCTTTAAGCCCCTTCCTTCTTTTTTGCTGAATTGAGATTTCACTGGCACAGTGCATGTTCTTAGGAAGTACTCAATTCTTGAGCATCTTTCCAATGTCTCAAGCCATGGTATGTTCTTTTAATTGGTAAAATCCAGGGACCACGTCTAACTGGGCCCTGCCATTTCTCTCGCTATTATATACTGGAAGAAGACACAGTTGCTTTCTCCCAAGCTTCCTGTCACTTCCACTCTGCCAACCAATTCCTCCTTTTGGCCAAATTTAGTTCAGAGTGGCAGTTCCCCTTACTACTTCCTCTACTCTCTGGGAGATGAAATTGTCAGCATGCAATAATAATAGCTGACGCCTACTGAGTTCTTTCTGTGCCAGAGGCACCTTTGCTATGAGGAAGCAGAGGCATGGAGGTGCGAAGTATCTTGCTCAAGTTCATCCATCTGGCCGGGGTGTGGGCATTCGAGCCAGGGTCTGATGCCAGAGCCCAAGCTCTGTTTCTTGCTCTATGCACCTGAAATTGAAGACTCTGATTTCAGCTGGACAGACTTTCTTTATTATTATTATTATTATTATTATACTTTAAGTTCTAGGGTACATGTGCACAATGTGCAGGTTTGTTACATATGTATACATGTGCCAGGTTGGTGTGCTGCACCCATCAACTCGTCATTTACATTAGGTATTTCTCCTAATGCTATCCCTCCCCCAGACCCTCACCCCACGACAGGCCCCTGTGTGTGATGTTCCCCTTCCTGTGTCCAAGTGATCTCATTGTTCAATTCCCACGTATGAGTGAGAAGATGTGGTGTTTGGTTTTCTGTCCTTGCAATAGTTTGCTCAGAATGATGGTTTCCAGCTGCATCCATGTCCCTACAAAGGACACAAACTCATCCTTTTTTATGGCTGCATAGTATTCCATGGTGTGTATGTGCCACATTTTCTTAATCCAGTCTATCATTGATGGACATTTGGGTTGGTTCCAAGTCTTTGCTGTTGTGAATAGTGCCGCAATAAATATACATATGCATGTGTCTTTATAGCAGCATGATTTATAATCCTTTGGGTATATACCCAGTAATGGGATGGCTGGGTCAAATGGTATTTCTAGTTCTAGATCCTTGAGGAATCAACACACTG